AGGGCCACCTTAGCAAAGCGCATCCCAGGCTGCATAGCCGCACTACCCTACCCAACCATACCACACATAAACATGACACTACCCCCGGGGTTTACACAGACGAGCCGGCGAAGCAAGAAGAGCGCCAGAAGAAAGGGCCCTAGCCGGCGGGGCCCAGCCAGGACAAAAGGAGGTCCCACAAAGCGCCTACACCGGCCGCATTTGCGGTCGGGGTAGACGACGGATGGGGCCCACCTACGAAGGCTGTCCAGGCCTACACGAGATGAGGCAGGATAAAGAGGGGTAATCCCCCTCGATCCCAAATCATTGAGGCCAATTTCTAGCCATGGAATAATGGCAGTTTATGTTGGAACAGCTATAATGCACAGAAAGTCGGTTTTGGCTCCATCCATAGTATCCTATCAAATCTATGTGTAAAGTACGTAGCTCTTGGCAAGGCATACGCCTGTCAGGATACCGCTCACGGAAGGTATCATGCATTTTCTGCATTCCCCATAAATTAGGATCATATCCAACTTTTCCTGATTTGTAAAATCGTTGTTATTAATTTTGAATATGTATCAATTTTATTCGCAGCAACTTATTAATACAAATTTTAATAACACTTCATGAACTGTCAAAGTAAACAATCAAATTTATTCAAATAATTGCAAAACCTGCTTTAGTTTTTGTAAATCGCTTTGATTTATGTACAATCCCAATTTTGGAAACATTTAAAATGGAATTTACTTCTGTTTTAAAGTCTAAATACAAAGTGTAATACTTCACGAAAAAGGGAATTTTTTGTAGAATTCAAATTGTAAGCAGAATATACAGGATATCACTTAAAATAAAAAAGTTACGGTCGTTTCCAGTTAAACCGGAAGTGAAACAATTTTAATATTAGGCTCAATTTAAAGGGGTTTAGGTATATTTCAGATGCCCCAAATCTCAAATTTATAGTAATGGAAATATGCCATTGGAACAATACAACTGAGACACCTAATGTAAAGGACCCCGCACAAATCTTATGGAAATTGGGTCCCGGTCAAATTCGCTGAATTTTTGATATGTGTTAGAGTTCATCATACTGGTCAATTGTCTCAATGGCCACAAAGCTCAAAAATGGATAGTTTGGCCGGTACAGAGCTTTAAAGCTCCGAATATCCTCCACGGATTTATGTATATGCGCAGTGTGTATAGACTTTTGAAATAGCCTATTTCATTTTTTTTATTATCTAGGTTTATATTTTTGAGGTTGCTGAATTCAGATCTGTTGTTAGATTTTCAAAATTGACAGTTGGCAGCTGTCAAATAGCTGTCAATGTGCTATAATAAAGCCAAAAACTTGTTTTTTTATGTTTTATCTTTCTTTTTTTTTAGTTCGATAAGTTCAAAGACGATATCAAATCAATAACAATGACTATCGGCAGCTGTCATTTAGCTGTCAACAATTCTTCAAAGTCCGGTAATAAAGTCAAAAAATTATTTTTTGTTTATAACTTCAAGTTTTTTAGATAAGTGAATATAAATATGATATAAAATTATGTAGTCATCAGCTTACAGCTGTCAACAAGCTGTCAACTAACTGTCAAAATGCAATAATAAAGTCAAAAAGTTACTTTTTTTAAAAAGCTTTAAGTTGCTTAGATCACTGAGTTCAAAAGTGATGTCATAAACTTATATCATGTTTGATTTCTTATCCACAAAGTTAAGCACAAAAAATAAGTTACTTGCTCTATTATTGCATTTTGACAGTTAGTTGACAGCTTGTTGACAGCTGTAAGCTGATGACTACATAATTTTATATCATATTTATATTCACTTATCTAAAAAACTTGAAGTTATAAACAAAAAATAATTTTTTGACTTTATTACCGGACTTTGAAGAATTGTTGACAGCTAAATGACAGCTGCCGATAGTCATTGTTATTGATTTGATATCGTCTTTGAACTTATCGAACTAAAAAAAAAAAAAAATAAATCATAAAAAAACAAGTTTCTGGCTTTATTATAGCAAATTGACAGCTAGTTGACAGCTGCCAACTGTCAATTTTGAAAATCTAACAACAGATCTGAATTCAGCAACCTCAAAAATATAAACCTAGATAATAAAAAAAATGAAATAGGCTATTTCAAAAGTCTATACACACTGCGCATATACATAAATCCGTGGAGGATATTCGGAGCTTTAAAGCTCTGTACCGGCCAAACTATCCATTTTTGAGCTTTGTGGCCATTGAGACAATTGACCAGTATGATGGGCTCTAACACATATCAAAAATTCAGCGAATTTGACCGGGACCCAATTTCCATAAGATTTGTGCGGGGTCCTTTCTGCAGTCTATTTTTAGACAAAGATTATGTGTGCACTAAATATTTCTTGTTTTAGAATGTCACCTTTTTGGCTTCTTGTTCAAATCAAGTTTATTGATACTACGATTACCCCACTCTTCTATTATTATCTGAATAAGGAAAAGCCAGTTTGAAGATTTTAATGAATTGATTATCTAAATACAAAAAAAGTGGGAACTTCACGCAATGTAATAGTTATAAGTGGTGTACATAGTTGACTGGGAAGGCCATGAATAAACTTATTCTAACAGTTTTACTTACGCTCGTACAATGCAACTATTTCGTCGCACCCACTGAAAAGTTAGATAAACTTCTGGCGGTAGCTGTGGTGAGTTGGAAGTGTAAAAATAATACATATTAAGTCGTTAGAAAATCATACTAGGACCTCATATGAACACCATCCAATATTTTCTTTCCTTTAGTATTTCAGACATGGGGACAGGTCACCAGCAAAATCATTTCCCACCGACCAGTTTTTTACATTGGACAATTTTCCAATGGGTTTCGGCCAACTGACCAATGTAAGTAAATATAGACTATGTGTATGTAGTTATTAGTTGGATATTAGAGTCGCGTTATCTGATATTTTTAACGTGCGTCAGAGTTATTATCTTAACAGCTCATTGACACCCGCATATGATATATAATTAAATAACAATTAAGTAATTAAAATTATATTATAAAATTCCGCGTATTAAATCTGGATAATTCTATTTTAGTAGTAGTATCTGGTGAAAAGTGAATAGCGTTTTTTAGAAGATGATTCCTAGGCCCATAAAGGGAACTATCGTGAGGCAGGAATTTCGAAGGAAATTTGAGAAATAAAATATTTAAATTGTACCCACCCTGGGATCTCAAAAAAAGTTGTATATTTATGTGCAAAATATACAGGGTGAGTCAGAAAAAATGGATTAATACTAAACTGGAGATACTAGACACCAAAATATTATGTTTGAGTTCATCATGCCTTATACGAATGTCGCTGGTTTAAGAAATACAGGGTGTTCAAGGTTTCAATTTTATGACTGAAAATTTAGGTAAATCAGAATATATTTTTTTTTATCTGTTGAGCTATGCTTAAAAAAAGTTAAAAATCTAAAAGAACGTTTAATTCTACATAAAAAATATAGTCTTGTTTTGGTCGTCGCCTAACTTTATCGGTTTCTGAGTTATTTGCATTTAAAAGTTTCAATGTATTTTGTGGTGATTTTCTTTCAGGCTTGCTATTTCTTTTCTAAGTAGGCTTGTGTCAATAAATCTTAACGTATTTTGCATGCGTGTGATTTATTATTCGTTCAAAATTATTAGCTAGTGATCTAAAAATGCCCTGGCATAATAATTTTTCCAACAGTGACATGCATGCAAGGTATGATTTGTGTTTTTGCCCAGGCCGAATTTAATGAACATGGGGCGGCCCGAAGATATGTGCAATTGTACCCAAATAGATTACCTAATTATAAACTATTCAGAAATCTTTACAATCGCTTAGGCGGATCTGCATCTTTGCGACCAAAAAGTAACCATGGTAATCCAAAATCTATCACAGTCGATGAAGAAGAGAAAATTTTACTACTCGTATTCGTCAGTTAAGTGCGGCAACGGGGGTAAGCCAATCGTCCATTTGTAGAATTTTGAAAAAAGAAATGCTCCATCCATGTGATTATACTCCGGTTCAGCAGTTATTGCCTCAAGATTTACCAGCTCGCCTACAATTTGTTCAGTTTATATAAAATATGCAAACGAAAAATCCAGATTTCCTCGATAAGATTTTATTTACTGATGGGGCGACATTTAATAGACGAGTTTTTTTCGTGGTTTTTGTTCAAAATACAGTCTAGCTGTATTGTTTACATTGTTTCTTACCCTTCGGTCAATTATTTGATTTTTCCGAACAGAAAGTGCATCTTCATTTCGTCGTAAGGTCGCCTCCATTCTTGTAAAGATTCTATGATCAGGAATGAGGCGCTCTGGATACCTTTCTCGATATAACTCTACAGTTCTTCTTTGTGACTCGCCGCAAATTAGCAACATCCCAGGTAGCACAATCGTGTGCAATTCTAATACAAGTTGTTTCAAGTTTACTTGAAATAGCCAAATTGTGTCAGATTGTTTTGTGTCTATTGCTGAAATTTATATCGTCTCTTATGCAAGATACTTTTACAATACTTGCACCAGACTCAACCAAAAGTACTCGAGTCCAAAGGGGTGAATTGGTATAAGTCAATAGTCGAGGCAATGAAGCACTAAAAAAGCCAAAAGTTCGGAATTTTTTCCATAAAGATGGATCGGAATGCGTTTTTTTTGCATTCTCTTCCAAAAATTTTTTGAAAAAAATGTGGCTCCTTTGTGTTTCTGACAAACCGGAAATTGCATTGCTGCAGCCAAAAATGCATTCAAAAAATGCATTTTTTGAGACGCCTTTTGGAAGATTTCAAAACTTTGTAAATAAGAGTCAGAACTGGCCCAAATCGGGTACTCGGGGGTTTTCGAGGTCGCTGATCACGATTATGAGGTTCAAATTGACCCCCCGAACACCTGGAGCTCAGGAACGCCGATGAACGTCATCTCCGTGGGGCTCTCCCAAAATTCAAGCGGAGAAAGAGAGAAACTCAGCGCCCGGGGGTTTCTTGGGTCGCTGAATTCAAATGTGGCATCGGCGAACACCCCCCGGACACCTGGTGCGCCCGAACCTGGACGTGGACGTCATCTCCTAGAATTTTCCTAACAAGATCGCCAAAAATAACTCAAAAATCATCGTAACCCGCGGCCAGTAGACCGTAGATTAGCTATACTTGTATGGAGGATTGGCACCCTCTGTGCAGGTATGGTAGGGTGGAAGAATGTTGGCTTGGGTCAATGTGAGAGATTGACACCGGTTGTCATTTGACCGCCCCCCTAATTAATGAAGTTTTCCAGGTTTCTCTCATTCCTACACTGAATGGTGGTTAGGGCCTACCAACTTAAGTCGTTCCTGGGCGCAAATGCGGCCTGCTTAATAATAATATGCCGCCTCCTCTCTCGCACATGTCTCCGACTTCTGGGCTAATTCTCGTAGTTAGAATGAGGAGTAGAGATATTATTATTATTGTTATTATTAACATTCAATTATTTTCCAACGACTACTTGATCCTTCCATCGTTAATGTGATTTTTACGTGATATTTCTTTTCAGACTCTTTAGGACGATATTGCTTATACTTTTAAACGGGAAGTAATACAGAAAAATTTCTCCAATACAAAAAAAGAGCTTCTTAACAGGAATAATTGACGACGTCATTAGTCGTTTCTGTCAAATCCTAAAGATAATACTTTCGATTGAAAATGGAGCTTACCTCATCCCATTTAACACCACTTGTCCCAAAGGACCCCGCACAAATCTTATGGAAATTGGGTCCCGGTCAAATTCGCTGAATTTTTGATATGTGATAGAGTTCATCATACTGGTCAATTGTCTCAATGGCCACAAAGCTCAAAAATGGATAGTTTGGCCGGTACAGAGCTTTAAAGCTCCGAATATCCTCCACGGATTTATGTATATGCGCAGTGTGTATAGACTTTTGAAATAGCCTATTTCATTTTTTTTATTATCTAGGTTTATATTTTTGAGGTTGCTGAATTCAGATCTGTTGTTAGATTTTCAAAATTGACAGTTGGCAGCTGTCAAATAGCTGTCAATGTGCTATAATAAAGCCAAAAACTTGTTTTTTTATGTTTTATCTTTCTTTTTTTTTAGTTCGATAAGTTCAAAGACGATATCAAATCAATAACAATGACTATCGGCAGCTGTCATTTAGCTGTCAACAATTCTTCAAAGTCCGGTAATAAAGTCAAAAAATTATTTTTTGTTTATAACTTCAAGTTTTTTAGATAAGTGAATATAAATATGATATAAAATTATGTAGTCATCAGCTTACAGCTGTCAACAAGCTGTCAACTAACTGTCAAAATGCAATAATAAAGTCAAAAAGTTACTTTTTTTAAAAAGCTTTAAGTTGCTTAGATCACTGAGTTCAAAAGTGATGTCATAAACTTATATCATGTTTGATTTCTTATCCACAAAGTTAAGCACAAAAAATAAGTTACTTGCTCTATTATTGCATTTTGACAGTTAGTTGACAGCTTGTTGACAGCTGTAAGCTGATGACTACATAATTTTATATCATATTTATATTCACTTATCTAAAAAACTTGAAGTTATAAACAAAAAATAATTTTTTGACTTTATTACCGGACTTTGAAGAATTGTTGACAGCTAAATGACAGCTGCCGATAGTCATTGTTATTGATTTGATATCGTCTTTGAACTTATCGAACTAAAAAAAAAAAAAAATAAATCATAAAAAAACAAGTTTCTGGCTTTATTATAGCAAATTGACAGCTAGTTGACAGCTGCCAACTGTCAATTTTGAAAATCTAACAACAGATCTGAATTCAGCAACCTCAAAAATATAAACCTAGATAATAAAAAAAATGAAATAGGCTATTTCAAAAGTCTATACACACTGCGCATATACATAAATCCGTGGAGGATATTCGGAGCTTTAAAGCTCTGTACCGGCCAAACTATCCATTTTTGAGCTTTGTGGCCATTGAGACAATTGACCAGTATGATGAACTCTATCACATATCAAAAATTCAGCGAATTTGACCGGGACCCAATTTCCATAAGATTTGTGCGGGGTCCTTTTATTTAATTTTTTTGTTTCCTCACAGTAGACCCATACTATCGAGTTTGAGACACCCTATACAATTTAATACTATTGGCTCTTGTTGGTACTGCATAATTATTAGCAATGTAATGAAACTTGAATGAATACTTCCAATATAATTCCGCGAATTTTAGACCAGTGCTTAAGCCTTCAAAAATGGTAAAAATTGAAAAAAAATTATAGTAGGATGAAACCCATTGGAAGAGGAAGAGAATATAACAGAAATGAAAAGAAAAATAATTTACAGGCGATCTGAGGTCGGGAAGGGGAAGGGGGTGAGTTTTTAAGGGTAAAAAACGGTTTATCTTGATTTCCGGAAAAACTACAAGTCTTATGGAAAAAAGTTAAATGGCAAAGTTGTAGGTAATAAAAAGATCTACAACTTTTGTATTTACACTTTTTTCACATAACCTCAAAATTTATGTGAAAAATTCAAATAACCAAGTTTTTGGTTTTTTATTTTTATCTTTTACAAACAAATTTTTTTTTCACGAAATTTGGTGAAAACTTACCTATTTATGTCCCAAACACGCTGTAATTTTTTTGATTTGAAATATTTATTTTTTCACCTTATTTTTACTTAATATCGAAAAAGCACCCTAATTTTCAATCGAAAATTCTCACGTCAAAATATCTGCTTTTTTAAAAACGTCGGTGGGCTTTTTCTTCGTTGAAATCTCTACTTTCTGATGGTGTAAAAAAATATATACATTACTATGGTAAGTTTTCTCAGGAAATGCAAAGAAACGAACTAGAATCCGAAAATTTTTTTCTAATCATTATGTACAATTTTGAGCTATTTATTAAAATTTACACTTTAATTACTCGAAAAACGTAAGATTCCATGTTACATTGATAAACAAAAAAATTACAAGTCGAAATATACTATTATAATTAACAACCAAATAAGTTAATAAAGTTAATATTTAATAAGACATCTACAATATTTTGAGAAAGTTGTAGAATCTTCTTTCGTTTCTTTGCATTTCCTGAGAAAACTTACCATAGTAATGTATATTTTTTTTCACCATCAGAAAGTAGAGATTTCAACGAAGAAAAAGCCCACCGACGTTTTTAAAAAAGCAGATATTTTGACGTGAGAATTTTCGATTGAAAATTAGGGTGCTTTTTCGATATTAAGTAAAAATAAGGTGAAAAAATAAATATTTCAAATCAAAAAAATTACAGCGTGTTTGGGACATAAATAGGTAAGTTTTCACCAAATTTCGTGAAAAAAAAATTTTTTTGTAAAAGATAAAAATAAAAAACCAAAAACTTGGTTATTTGAATTTTTCACATAAATTTTGAGGTTATGTGAAAAAAGTGTAAATACAAAAGTTGTAGATCTTTTTATTACCTACAACTTTGCCATTTAACTTTTTTCCATAAGACTTGTAGTTTTTCCGGAAATCAAGGGAAACCGTTTTTTACCCTTAAAAACTCACCCCCTACCCCTTCCCGACCTCAGATCTCCCGTAAATTATTTTTCCTTTCATTTCTGTTATATTCTCTTTCTTTTCCAATGGGTTTCATCCTACTATAATTTTTTTTGGTTTCAAAAATTATCGACCCTGTTCTATTTAATGTTATTTCGATCAAATCTAACGGAATGTGATAAAAAACATGATTATGTTATTTATTTTAGAGGGTATTTTTGAAAGTGACGTTTTAATTTTAACATATGCCTACATTATCAATTTGAAAACTCCATAGTAGAACACGTTCTGTATATTCATCATAGTAACACTTCATATAGAAATTTTTATTTTTATTTCTTGAAAACGACCATTTACGTAAAATATATTTATAACTTTCAGAAGGGCATAAACCGCCATTACGAACTGGGCCAGTGGTTTAGGGACAGATATAGCACGTTCCTACCTGAGCAATACTCACCTAAAGACATCCTGGTCATGTCCACCGATGTAGATCGCACCCTGATGTCCGCCGCTGCCAATCTAGCCGGCCTTTACCCTCCACGGGGGTGGCAGGTGTGGAACAAGGATCTGCCCTGGAGGCCCACACCGATCCATACCGTCGCCAGAGCCGACGACAACGTCTTAGCCATGAAGAAGTCCTGTCCCAGATGGGACAAGTTGTATGACGAAAGCAAAAGCTCCGAGTTCTACCAACAGATCGATAAAGAACACGCCGAGCTCTACGAATACGTCTCTGAACAATCGGGATTGAACGTTACTAGTACCGATGAAATTAGGTTGATAAGGTCCATTTTCTACTGTTACAGGAACTTTAACGAGTCTTTTATACCGTCTTGGGCAGAGACATTAAACCAGACAGAGTTGGATTACTTGGCGGGGTTGACTTATGCGGGACGTACCGCCACTGGTGAAATGAAACGGTTAAGAGCGGGTCCATTCTTCAATTATCTTATTAGTTATTTCTACGACGTTTCGAATAACGTAGAAAACAAACCAAAATTTTTAATGTTTTCCTCGCATGACACTGAACTGGTGTCGGTACTGGACGCCATGGGTGTAAATGACATTTCTCCTGTTAGTTTCGCTGCTACGATAATATGGGAAGTGAAAGAAACAACGGAAGGTAGTAAATACGTGAATTTGTTTTATAGAAAAAGCGACGACGAGCTTTTGAATCTGACGGTGCCAGGGTGCGCGTTCGATTGTCAATTGGACGATTTCAAGGTCCTTTTGGAGCCAGTTACTGTTAACCCTGAAAAATGGGAAGAAGAATGCAACTCTGAAAATAGTAAATAGGAATGCAGTGTGTAATTGATTAAAAAAAGGAATTTATTAAATCTTTGACCATTTATTTTGTTATAATACATGTTATTAAAACGATTTTAGAAAAATAGACAATAAATTATACTTTACTTTACTTTACTTTACTCTTTATTTAAAGACCACATTACGTACAATAAAAGTACATTTGAAGTCACTGATAATATTAATGATTAATGGTTTGTGTTCGACCAGTTAAAATAACCTTGCACACTATAAAAGCATTTGTCCAATAGAAGGCTTTTACTCAAGTTATAAAATTGATTAAAACTTAAATTAGTGACATTTACATTTTTAAAACATTTGTCGAAGTGATTGTATAACTTAACATCTAACTTATTGATTTTTGTTGTGCGTATTCTAGAAAACGGTTCAACCAAAGTATCGGCATATCTGGTGTTACAGGAATGCATGTTAGAATGCTTTTGAATTTTGTCCAACCCACGATGTATGTGCAGTAACGATTGGAATATATAAATACATGGTAGTGGCATAATTTGAAATTTTTTAAATAGTGGTAGGCAATGTGAACCAAAAAGGGCACCCTCAATAATGCGAACAGCAGCCTTTTGCAAAACAAATAACTTATGCGCCACATTTGAATTACCCCATAGAGTGATACCATGGGATAAATGGCTATGTATAATTGCAAAATAAACCGTGCGCAATACTTTAGAAGGAAGCGACCGCCTCAATTGTCTCATACAAAATATTTGCGACGACAACTTAGAAGCAATATGATCTATCTGAGACGACCATTCCAATCTGGAGTCAAGAACCAACCCAAGAACTTTAACTTCTGATTTTGTAACCCTCTTGTCGGTACTAAATAAGATATTTTGGGTTTTGGATTCATTCAGTTTTAATTTATTCGAAGAAAACCAATTTTTAGAAAGTTGTAGACTGCTTAAACTGAAATCGTCGTCCCTTGTAATTAATGTAGTGTCATCCGCAAACATAATACAAAAGGCATCACCTACGGAGTAAGGTAAGTCATTAATATATAAGAGAAACAAAATGGGTCCCAGAACAGAACCCTGGGGAACTCCGTTCTCAACTTGCAGTAAGCCAGACTCAATTCCATTCAGACTTACATAATGTTGCCTGTTAGATAGGTACGAAGTAAACAAATTAAGCACATTTTCTCTGATTCCATAGTACTCTAATTTATGTATTAAAATTTTTGTGTTGACACAATCAAATGCTTTCGTGAGATCGCACATTATAGCATTTGAATTGATACCGATATCAAATCCCTCTACAATAGCTTCAATCATTGACAGTAATGCTTTGAGTGTAGATCTTTTCTTCCTGAAACCAAACTGGGAATCAGAGAAAATATGCTTGCTCTCGCAGTAACTGGTTAATCTCTGCTTTATAATTATTTCAAAAAGTTTGCTGATTACAGGGACAGTTGCAATCGGTCTATAATTATCCGGACGGAAGAAAAAGAGGGCTTTGGTGCCTTAATTAAAAAATCTCTCGGATTAATGAGTCTGTCATCAATTGATTGAGTAACTGTGTTACAAATATTAGAAAAATGTAAATTAAAATCATCGGATGAGATCAAATTAGATTTAAACACTGACTTTTTAGTTTTCCTTTCATTATCTACTATGTTCCATATTGTTTTTGTTTTATTAGTAGAATTGGAGATTTCATTTATGTAAGAATTTCGTTTTTCAGTTTTTATAGCTTTTCTATATGTCTTCTTGACATTACAGTATATTGCCCAGTTTTCAATTGTTTTTTCATTGTCATAAACAGCCCTAGCATATATTAACTCGCTGCGTAACTCTCGGAGCCTGTCATTGAACCATCTCAATCCATTCGATTTATTAGACACATATTTTAGAGGAAAATTTGTTTCTGCAATGTTGCGCAGGGTGTCTAAAAAAGTGTCAGCAAAGTCCGAACAGTTGAGAGTAAAAATATTGTCCCATTTTGTTTCCCTGACCTCACTCGCAAATAGACAAACCTTATTTCTGGAAATTATTCTAGTTTTAGTGGAACCTTTACAGGTAATATCAGATCATGTCTGTATATTAACAAAAACGCCGAGATGATCGGCTAAATTAGGATCGCATTTACCGGAAGTCAATCTGTAAGATTCGACATTAGTCATGATATTATCCAAACAGGAACTGCCACCTGCAGTAATTCTAGTAGGTTCTCTGATTATATGAGTAATTACATACATAGATAACTTTTTATTACAATTTTTTAAAATCAGTCAGTAAATTTTCCTAGATGTGGAAATCATGAATACGACGTGTATACCGCTGTGCAGTACTGGTTGGATACATTTGTCATTGCTAGAAATTGTGGAAGTTTATAAACGAATCTGTGAAATTATACAGGGTGTCCCACTAAGTTCGGCGAAGTACGATAATGAGCTTCCCCCACCCTTTGTGTCGAGAGATAGAACAAAATGTCAATAATAATAGTTATGTGCAATGAATCCGGCTGTTCATATTCGTACTATTTAATATACCTGTACGTGAATAGGAAACATTTCTGAGAAAAATTCAACTTTATGTTTTGGTAGTCTCCTAGCGGCCGAGCTACGAACTTGAAAACTATTTCCAGCGATTTCTTTTGGTCGATTTATTCATCAAAATTCTTTACCCGAAGTTCTAGGGCCTATACTTTCCTTAATATCGTACCTCGTCGAACTTAGTGGGACACCCTGTATATTAAAAACCCATTCGATGTCAAAATAGAACTAAACAATGGCTTCTTCTTTAATTTACAGGGTGAAAAATTTGTTAGAATTTCGATCATATTTTGGGAAGCATTTTGAGCTGATTTGTAAAGGGAGCTAGTTATTTTTTATATGCGGTGCAAATGTGATTTAAACTTTTTTACTCTTGTCAGTTCAAAATAAATATTTTTAACTTATTTTAGAAATAAGTTAAAGCCGTTTTACATTGACAATTTATTGTTCAATTAATTCATGAAGTCGCTTCATCAAGAATTTGGACAAGTGTAATGCACCAAATCTGCTGTCAAATAACTTCATGAATTTATTCATCAAGTTCTTGACGAATTATAGCTGTTTTACATTGACAATTTATTGATGAATAAATTGACGAAGTTTCTTCATGAACTTATCTAACTCTTGAATTGATTTACACCGTAGTAAACGAATTAATACTTCGATTTAATATAAAATGAATTACCTAAAAGTAAAACAGCGTTTTTATCTTGAAAACCTGGATTTTTTACTTCTTTCAAAATATGCCGATTTTGCTGAAAATTATGGAAAACTTTCTTGATTTAAGAGGGCTTTATAGCAAATAGGCAAGCAGCAATACATTTTTATAGATTTTATTACACAGTTTGTCAAAAAATTAATTAATGCGCAAATAACAGACTTTCCTCCATTCTGAAACAGATTTTCTATAAAATAGAATTAGTTTAAAATTGAAATAACTTTTTGGTGTAAAAAATTTGTAATTTGCCGCTTTTGAACAAGCGGCATCATAAATTACAATTTCTTTTACACCAAAAAGTAATTTGAGTTTCAAACTAAGTCCATTTTATAGAAAATCTGCGCTAGAATGGAGGAAAGTCTGTTATTTGTGCATTGATCCATATTTAGATAAACTGTGTAATAAAATCTATAAAAATGTATTGCTGGTTGCCTATTTGCTATAGAGCCCTCTTAACTGATCCACCTGCCAAGAGTGTGAAGATTATTTCAATAATTAGACTTGATAATAATATTTTGGATGGGTGTGAAAACACCAACCAGCATCCAAAATATTTGGATTATTTCTAAATTAATTTGTTTTTTTTTGTTCTTAATCTTACGTATCAAGCAATCGCTGCTTTCTCGAAAGAATTGTTGATTTTCATCTGTGTAGGTGTTACCTACTTTTATTCAAAACTGACCAAAATTTGAAATTTTCATCCTAAATAAACATAATTGATAAAAATTTTAACCCAATTAGTGTAATGATTTTTGACGTACCTACCAAAAAAATTACAAAGGTTTTTTTAATCTTTGTCATTCTGTATATTAAAAATTGATAATTTCCCATTGTTATAGAAACACCATATACATATTTGAATGTCGTTAGTAATATCGTAAAAAAATATCAGAATATTTCGATTAACAACCCTAAAGGCCTTCAAAAATTATTTTTGTTAATAAGTCCTCATATGTACATATATATTTATTTTCTCTGTAAGTATATTCTTATCATTTCCACTACTTGAAATTATATTTTTTATCACGTCTTTTTAAATAACTAATAATAATACGATGAAGGCTGATATTATATTTATTATCGATTAACCTGATTTAAAATCTGTTAATTATATTTAAATATTTTGATAAAATGAGAATCATTGCCACGCTCCTTATTATTGAACTTTTGTATCAATAAGAGATAGATGTGCAGTTCTGGATAGCTTCATTCGAAATGGCCTTTAAAGTCTGTGACGAATTTGCTTTGATGTCATCAATAGTCTGAAAATGATGTCCTTTCAGCACTGATTTTAATTTCAGAAATAAGAAAAATTTTTGTGAAGTATTGTCGTCAGGATCGTGCAATTGATTTTGGCGCGTATGGGTCTAATGATTCTTTGGTGTTGTTTGATATTATGCTTACTACTATTTCAACTCAGATTTATTTTGTTGGTAAAATTTGTATAGAATATAAAAACAAAACTACTTTTCACTTATTGTTTGATCCGTTAGCTTTAGAGCATGTTTATGATGATTGTAATAAAAATAAATATGGATATATTTGCAATGGTCAATCAATAACGAGAATTTCAATTTGAAAATGACTTTCCTGCAACCCTAGCATACAAAAATTATCACCTTTTTGACTTCCCTCGTATAAATATCAACTTAGCGACGCACTACTAGACTTACCTTAGTGCGTATGAGTTAAGAGGTTTAAAATTTACGTCGCTTTCGGAACATGTAATTCTCACTTGGGGTTTTGTTCTCCATTAGCGCGAATTTCAAAAAGTTCGATTATTTTCTGAACATGCCTCGTAGATTATAATAACGTCATGTAATAAACAACGGTAAGACATTAAATAAGTTACTATTTATGGTACAAACTGCTTTAGTATATTTTTCTCAAACCTCCAACGAATTAGTCTTCTTAGTATATTTTATAAAAAAGTTGTTCCAAATTATATGTTTATTCTAAATCACTTAAATTTCTAAAGCGCTTGCATGGCTTATTATCTAAATCCGTTACCATATTTCTAGAGTCGGTTCGGTCTAGTACCATTATTTCGATATTTAATCAAAAATTCAAGTGAAATCGTTATCTTTGGACTGACAAGTGCTCCACTATGTCTAGAAAAAGTACTTGAACATGCAATATATCACCAGATCGATGACTGGCTGTTTAATTAATGTACGAAATTTTTTCAAGTAGATTAAACTAAATTATCACCAATTTTAGTCAAATTATCATACAGATTGTTCTCAAACACTGTCGGAATTTATGTATATGTATATCGTTATTATCAATTGAAAAATTTCGGTTAAAAATAATTATGAATTAAAAACATTCTTGTCCAAAAAGATCAATCACGGGTTGGTTTCTATGAAAAAAACAAAAATTTTTCTTTAAGTCATAAAGAAATTAAGAAATATGGACCACCACATATGACAGTCATTGACGTTACCAAAACTGATTAATTTCCCACTATAGTAAATAGAATACAAATAAAGGAAATAGTAAAAACATTGTTTTTAAGGAGGTAAGTGGATTTTACCGTAGAAGTGGAAGTTGCTATGGACAACGGAAGGTTAGTGAGGTAACTTACCTCCCTAGGGAAAAAAGCGATTTCGAGTTATATTTACATATTTGATGAACCTTCCATTTTATTAATTATTATGAATGAATATTTATAGTAATTGTACAGTTATTACATTTAGTAACATTTATAATATCTGGATAATTATTCCCCTCGCGTTTACTAATTGTCACATTTTTCTCAAAATGATTTGACTGCTCCATTTCAGTCACCGGAGGCTCAATATTATCTGACTGATCCTTTAAAATTAAAACAGCATGATGCGACGTGCTACTAGAACCTGGAGTTGAAGCGTCAATGTAAAGAATCCTGTCGGCTATTTCATTTTTGATACTGTCAGCAACATTACTTTCTGCAATTGTGGCTGATTTCCACCCACCGTGTCTCTTGATTGCTAATAATACAACTCCTGTATTAGCCAGTAACGTTGCCGATGTTCTTCGGAATGAATGGCCTGTATATGTTTCAGGATGTTCTAGTTTCAAAAACTGTGCAATCTTATCAGGATTTACAGAAAGGGCATTCTCGCCGACGGGTTGGTTGTAACACCTACCTGCTTGATAGCACATGAGAAAGCGTGAAATTTCAGTTTTCATTTCCAATCTAATCTTGATATAGTTCTTGAGAATTTCTAGATGAAAAACAGAACCCAGACGAGAAGTAATTGTAAACGTACGTGACATACCATTTTTAGAATCTGGAATTGCAACTACACTAATGGAAAAAATTAAGGGATCAAAAAAAAAAAATTTTAATTTTCGGCGATTTTTCAAATGGCTGTATCTTATAAAAATGGTCGTATTGGAGTGAAAAAACAAGCAATTTGAAGCTTGAAGTTTCTAATTTTGGATTTTGCAAAAAAAAACATGTAACACGCGCAATCTTAATGAATATCATGAAAAATCATTTTCTCTTTGTTCATCGATATCTCAGAAACCAATGGCTGCACAGAAAATCGACGGTGGGTTTCAGAAACTTGAATAAATTCTCTACAAGGTCTTGACACGGTTTTCTAGAAAAAAAAAAATTTTATCCTTAACATGACTGAAAAATCGTAAAAATAGGACTTTTAGGGGTCTTCTAGAAAATCACGTGCCACATTGAGAATATTGGGAAAATGGCTAATGTTAAGTGTGCCTTTTACAGGTCATTGTACCCCTAAAAGCCCTACAGAGTTTCAATTCGATCCATCAAGCCGTTTTTTTGTTTCATTTGATTGAATTTTTTAAAAAATTAAAGGATCACGTTTTTTTGCCTTTAAATGCTATTAATCTGTAAAAAAATGAAAAAAACATTTTTTTCCTGATTTTTTTTTTTACATTCTTATTGCAGAAGGATACAGCCATTTGAAGAATCGCCGAAAATTTAGATTTTTTTTTATCCCTTAATTTTTTCCATTAGTGTACAATAATGTCATCGCAGAGTAGATAAAATGTTAAACACCACGCAGCAGATAAATATAATTTACCAGTCTCAGACTCTATTGCCAGCCCTCGCTCCGCTCGGGCGCAAAGTAATCCTCGGCTGGTACATAATTCTTACCTCCTTTATGGTGTAAATAACTATTGCTGTAGCAATTTTTTTTACACAAATATTTGTGTGATTTTAAATTGTATGTCTTTACACTAGTTTAAAAAACTCAGATGTATAATCTGTCTGAATTTAGTTAAGGATCAGTCTAGTTTAATTTCAACTTAATTTTGTAGAGACTACACTACGACTGCACTATTCTTAAATAAAAATATATGTATACTTATTATTACAAATATTTATTTATGATGGAGGTAGCTGAATTTGCAGCCTATACTGACTTGTCACTGTAGAAAACATATTTTTAAACATAGCCTATCAATTATCAGTCTATTTTAAAAATATCAGTTAAAAAAGATAATCCCTATTGTAATAGGTACTTATTTAATACGAGTATCAAGTAAATTGCCCCCACCGTACGCTTTCGTCGCTCCGTCACTGCATCAGTCTTCGATTTTCTGCCATTATCTGAATTTCGAGAGGCTCGAACATTTGACTGTATCGATTAGACGAATATAAAAAAGTGATAAATTGTTTGACTTGTTCTAATTGTTGCAAGTGGCTTAGTTAACCGAGATACCATGATTAAAGTCGTTCTAACAATATCACTGGTTCTCCTAGAGATCAGTGGTACCGCCATACCTTTAGAAAATTCGGATAAGCTTTTGGCCGTAGCTGTGGTGAGTTAAGAATGTATTCATCTCTTCAGTTTGTCGGTTCATAATCAGTTAGTGCATAAGTTTTTCTTTATTTTTCTTGTGATTTCGACAAAAATGAAATGAAAGGAAACCTTCTTCATATTTTCAAAAAGATATCCTTCGAAACTCAGATTGCTTCTGCCGCAAAATATATTTGTTACGTCCTGTTACTTTCTTTTTTAGTACTTTAGACATGGAGATAGATCTCCGAAGGAATCATTTCCTACAGACGAATTTTTTAATTTGGAACATTTCCCAATGGGCTTTGGTCAACTAACCAATGTAAGTAGACACTAGCTAGACACGTTCGTTGCAAATAAATATAGATGCAATACTTAATTAGCTTCATTTTGCGATGTTTTTTACATTTATTACTTATCTTGAATGTGAAACGCGATAAAAAAATATTGTATAGTAAACATTATAAAATGTTGATAAATTTAAAAACATTGCAACAAGGCGAGGCAAGAACTATGTAAGGTGTCACGTTTCTGCAGCAGAGAAAAATTGAAAAAAATATACACATTCATTTAATTCCTTGATTTTTTCGTCTTTTAGCAGATGCGTCTCTGTGGCAATGGTTTTAAACTGTTATGTGTGTTTGTTCTAATTACTTCGGTTACAAAGTTAAAGACCATCCACATAGTTATTGTCTCACCCTGTATAGGTACAGTCTGTTTGATTGTAAAAGTCCCGAGCTACAACTCGGTTATCAATTTTTGGACACCCTGTAAAGTATATACAGGGTGGCACAAAAGTATGGAACCCCCTGAATAATTCGTCAGGAGTGCATTTTCTTGAAAAATGATAAATACAAAAGTTTTAGGATTTTTTCCTGGCTATTCAATGGCGCCCTTGTATTCGACCTTGACCTTGACCTTCGAGGTCATTTCAAGGTCAAAATTGTTTTTTCAAATTATATTCTTTATTGCGGATTTGGAAAGAGCAGGAAATTTTACATCCAAACTTGGTTATTTACTATGACTTTGACAATGACCTTACTCTTTCCAAATCCGCAATAGAAAATAGGGGTTCCCATTAAAAAAAAATTAACTTGACTTTCGATTGACCTTGAAGGTCAAACTCAAGGTCAAATCCAAGGTCACCATCAGATAGCCAGGGAAAAATTCTTACACTTTTGTCTGAAACATTTTTTCCCAAAAAAATCAATTTTGACCTTGAAATGACCTTGAAGGTCAAGGTCGAATACAAGGGCGACATTGAATGGCCAGGGAAAAATCCTAAAACTTATATATTTATCATTTTCAAGAAAATGCATTACTCCTGACGAGTTATTCAGGGGTTTCCATACTTTTGTGCCACCCTGTATATATAATTTTAAATGGCATGTTATTTTCTTTATACTGATGCACAATTTTTTTTTCGTCAGACTGTAGATGAGTAGTGACGTCATCGATATTTTTTTAAATGGGATTTTGATTAATTTTTTTATTCTCTTTCTAACAATATAAATTTTGTATGCCTTTGGCTTTAGTTTACGGTGCTCGCTTTCTAAATCATATCAGTATAAAGAAAATAACATCCCATTTAGAAATATATGTACTATAGAAGGTGTCCAAAAATGGTAACCGAGTTGTAGTTTGGAGCCTTTATGATCGATACCTACCATTAAAAATGCACAATTTTCGATTTAATTCTTTGTTTATCGCGAAATAAGAAAACAATTATAGGAACACCATAACGAGACATAACTACAATTTTCAGAAAGGCATAGAGCGGCACTACGAACTGGGAAAATGGTTTAGGAACAGATACGGCGCATTCCTATCCGAAGAGTACTCAGCCAACGACATCCTGGTCAGGTCCACAGACGTAGACCGCACCCTCATGTCCGCCGCTGCCAATCTAGCCGGTCTTTACCCTCCTCAGGGGCGGCAGGTGTGGAACAAGGATCTGCTTTGGAGGCCCATACCGATCCACACCGTTAAAAAGAAGGACGACAACGTACTAGCCATGAAGAAGCCCTGCGCGAAATTGGACGAACTGTTCGAAAAGAACAAACAGTCGACATTCTACAAACAAATCAACAAGGACCACGCTGAACTGTACGAATACCTTTCGGAGCACACAGGGATGACTGTCGCTGATATCGACGATGTAAAGTTGATAAGATCCATTTTCTACTGCTACAAAAACTTTAACGAGTCTTTCATACCTTCTTGGGCGGACAATTTGAACCAAACTGAGCTAGATTACCTGGCAGCGCTTGCTTTTGCCAGCCATTCTGCTACGGATGACATGAAAACGTTGAGGGTGGGGCCATTTTTCCATAACCTGTTCGGTTATTTCGATGACGTTTTGGACCAAGTAGAAGACGCTCCTAAGTTTTTCATGTTTTCTTCGCAAGACAAGCCATTGGTGTCCGTGTTGGACGCCATGGGCGTCTACGACTTATACCCTCCCAATTTTACTTCAACAATTATCTGGGAACTGAAGGAGGACGCAGAAGGGAGCAGGTACACAAATCTGTTTTATAGGAGAAGCGCAGATGAGCTGTTCAGTTTGACTATACCGGGGTGTACCTTTGATTGTCAGTATGACGATTTTAAAGCTATTTTGAAGCCTTTTACCCTCAAGAACAAGAAATGGAAGAAGGAGTGTGGCAATGCAGGTAATAATTAGGGAGNAGCCAACGACATCCTGGTCAGGTCCACAGACGTAGACCGCACCCTCATGTCCGCCGCTGCCAATCTAGCCGGTCTTTACCCTCCTCAGGGGCGGCAGGTGTGGAACAAGGATCTGCTTTGGAGGCCCATACCGATCCACACCGTTAAAAAGAAGGACGACAACGTACTAGCCATGAAGAAGCCCTGCGCGAAATTGGACGAACTGTTCGAAAAGAACAAACAGTCGACATTCTACAAACAAATCAACAAGGACCACGCTGAACTGTACGAATACCTTTCGGAGCACACAGGGATGACTGTCGCTGATATCGACGATGTAAAGTTGATAAGATCCATTTTCTACTGCTACAAAAACTTTAACGAGTCTTTCATACCTTCTTGGGCGGACAATTTGAACCAAACCGAGCTAGATTACCTGGCAGCGCTTGCTTTTGCCAGCCATTCTGCTAAGGATGACATGAAAACGTTGAGGGTGGGGCCATTTTTCCATAACCTGTTCGGTTATTTCGATGACGTTTTGGACCAAGTAGAAGACGCTCCTAAGTTTTTCATGTTTTCTTCGCAAGACAAGCCATTGGTGTCCGTGTTGGACGCCATGGGCGTCTACGACTTATACCCTCCCAATTTTACTTCAACAATTATCTGGGAACTGAAGGAGGACGCAGAAGGGAGCAGGTACACAAATCTGTTTTATAGGAGAAGCGCAGATGAACTGTTCAGTTTGACTATACCGGGGTGTACCTTTGATTGTCAGTATGACGATTTTAAAGCTATTTTGAAGCCTTTTACCCTCAAGAACAAGAAATGGAAGAAGGAGTGTGGCAATGCAGGTAATAATTAGGGAGCGGAATGTTGGAAGGATACTCTTTTTATTTTATTGGATGTTCTACCACGCTGAAAAGTTAATAACCTCTTCCTACAAAAGAGAATGAAAAAGCAGATAATTATCCACGATTACATTTCGAAAAAATCTGTTTTCTTTATCAGAAATCAGAACTCAAATTGATTTACTGCCGGTTTGTCAAAGTAAGTTTAACTACGATTTAGTTAAATCAAGTTTGCCTACTAATCAGTCGTCTGATTGGTTGTTGCTAAGGGAGTTGGTTAAATCAAGTTCAAATATATTTTGATAACCCAACCTTTAAAGTCAAGTTTATCTACATTTGTTTATCTACGTTTCAGAAATATAAGATATCATATTATTTTGTTATTACGTACCTCGTTGTTGAAAATATTAAAAAATTTGAGGTATTTTGAAAGACTTGTACCACCGTTTAGAAAAATAAATTGCTTTTCTTTTTATGCATTACCAAAATTTTTGTGTTATTGCATCAAATAGCGACCGAGAATATTTTATCAACGCAGTACATTTGTGAAGGGTCTACCTTTCCGATGGATGTAATTGCCAATCGATGTCCTCACTAGAAATACCTATTTTTGAAAGACTTGTTTACTTTGGAATCTACCTAATATGACACTTACATCGAAACTATTCCAATCAATATGTCAGAGCCTAATGTTTTTACAAAAATACCACCTGGAAACAAATATGGTGATACAGGAAAAAAAAATTCTAAGACAGATAGTGTTTTTTCCTGTGGCGCATAAACGGTGAAGTTAACTTAAAAAATTCATAAAAGTAAAAAAAACGGTTTTTCGCTAATAAAAAACTAGAACTCCAATCGAAAAATGTTAAATGAGAAAGTTGTAGGTATTAAAAAAATCTATCGATTCGTATTTTTAATTATAATATATCGATTGCTATATTACTTTTCGAGATATATCGAAAAAAACCGTCAAAAATCGACGTTTTTTGTTTTTGCTGTATCTCTTGCAAATTAAGGTTTTGAAACTTGTTACTTGTTGTAAGTGTAACCCTCGGCATGCAAAAAAGTAACTTTTTTTTAAATTAAAAAATATTAAAAATTTTTCACTTTATATCGATTTTTCAAAAAAAAAAGGTCATCTCGAAAATCAGCTATTCTTGTTCGATGAATAGTCGTAGAGAAACGAATCAGGGCTCACTTGTTTCCTTGAGAGATGTACATTCATGGTAAAAAAGAGTGATAACGATTTTATTCATGTCAAGTGTCCAAAAATGAAAAGAAAAAATTTTTTGGTCGCGATTTTTTTAATATCTTTTCCGATTTTCATTTCTCGATAATGTCTATTACAGGAATCGATTGTTGGAATTTTTACGCAAATTTTGAGGGTTGCTTTCGCTGTACAGCAAGAATAAAACGCTCTCTCAACAGTAATAATAAAGTATTTTATTGAAAACTAAGTTGTATAGAAAAAGACGTGTTGACGGGGTGAGTGTTCGTTGGAGAGTTCCTGTGTGTGGAGTCGGTCGTAGGTGTATGAGTAAGCATCTGGTCGCCGGCGTCAGTAGTCCGCCGTAGACCCTTCCTGGAACGCTCGTACGTCCGGCGGCGTCCTGCTGGCGCCCTGCTGGCGCTCTTGGCATAATGCTTAAAAATGGGTCACTTGCAACATGCGTACCCACAATTTAAAAAAGAACGTTGTTGTACGACCTTCTGGAGTTGAGATATACAGGGTGTTTCATAATATATGCGCAGGACTTCAGGATGTGATAGCTCGTCCAAAAATTTGAAAAAAAGTTTGTATTAACTTACCCTCTAAAATGCACAATTTTCGAGATACAGGGTGTTGAAATTGTAAAAAAAAATTCGTTTTTTGCGAATATCTCCGGAACCGTTTATCGTACAGAAAACAGCTTTTGTAAGCATTTANTATAGCAAAAGTACGTGTTTTTTGCACTTTTAGGTTAGAATATCTCGGAAACCTAGGGTGATGGATCAATTCTGAGGCCAGATTCGGATTCAGCGCGTCAAATGCCTTCGGAAGCGTAGTGTCTGATGTCTGGATTTTTTTTTTTTTAAATTTTGTCGACCTGTGTTATTCAGGAATACATTTCAAAAAAATCTACTTTCTTTATAAAAAATTTACTTATAGTCCAGGCTGTATCGTCGCTTCCTTTAGGAACATGATTCTCATTCAATTTTTTTTCATAATGTTACTAAAAAAATGACCCTTGAAACATATCCGCATGTTGCCAGATAATGGTCAAAAACTGTTTAAACAATTTTTTTTAACAAATTCCTAATTTTCGATTTTTTCGCTCGAAATAAATTATTTTAGGCCTTTTAGGGTATCCTGAACAAAGAAGTTCTTATGCAACATTTCTCTAAAATTGACCGTTATCGAGATATTAACGAATTTTTGTTCGAAAAAACCGCGATTTTAATCATTTTCAACATCAATAAACTATATTAAAAATAGCAATTTTTTAGTGTTGCCAAAATTCTTAAATAATCTTTGAACATTCCTTAACAAAAGTCCGAAGAGTTACGCCGGTATATTTTATTCTGAAGACTTGTTATTTATCGGTAATAAGGCGCGCGCGCCGCGTTTCTCAGCCGCTCTTGGCTGCCAACGTACAGGGTCGGAAAGTTCCCATGGTTCATCAGCCGTTACGTGAGAGCGATAAAAAAAGTCATAGAAATCCGTGCGATAAAGAAAGATGGCTACAATGAAGGCGTCTATTAGTCACCGCCCATTTCGCCCTTCCACAAATAAGATCCACTTCTTATTTGTGGAAGGACGGATTTCTATGACTTTCTTTATCGCTCTCACGTAACGGCCGATGAACCATGGGGACTTTCCGACCCTGTATACTGCGTCTCTGTGAGTGAGTGCGGGAGATATAAGATATCATATTATTTTGTTATTACGTACCGCGTTGTTGAAAATATTAAAAAACTTGAGGTATTTTGAAACACTTGTATCACCGTTTAGAAAAATAAATTGCTTTTCTTTTTATGCATTACCAAAATTTTTGTGTTATTGCATCAAATAGCGACCGAGAATATTTTATCAACGCAGTACATTTGTGAAGGGTCTACCTTTCCGATGGATGTAATTGCCAATCGATGTCCTCACTAGAAATACCTATTTTTGAAAGACTTGTTTACTTTGGAATCTACCTAATATGACACTTACATCGAAACTATTCCAATCAATATGTCAGAGCCTAATGTTTTTACAAAAATACCACCTGGAAACAAATATGGTGATACAGGAAAAAAAAATTCTAAGACAGATAGTGTTTTTTCCTGTGGCGCATAAACGGTGAAGTTAACTTAAAAAATTCATAAAAGTAAAAAAAACGGTTTTTCGCTAATAAAAAACTAGAACTCCAATCGAAAAATGTTAAATGAGAAAGTTGTAGGTATTAAAAAAATCTATCGATTCGTATTTTTAATTATAATATATCGATTGCTATATTACTTTTCGAGATATATCGAAAAAAACCGTCAAAAATCGACGTTTTTTGTTTTTGCTGTATCTCTTGCAAATTAAGGTTTTGAAACTTGTTACTTGTTGTAAGTGTAACCCTCGGCATGCAAAAAAGTAACTTTTTTTTAAATTAAAAAATATTAAAAATTTTTCACTTTATATCGATTTTTCAAAAAAAAAAGGTCATCTCGAAAATCAGCTATTCTTGTTCGATGAATAGTCGTAGAGAAACGAATCAGGGCTCACTTGTTTCCTTGAGAGATGTACATTCATGGTAAAAAAGAGTGATAACGATTTTATTCATGTCAAGTGTCCAAAAATGAAAAGAAAAAATTTTTTGGTCGCGATTTTTTTAATATCTTTTCCGATTTTCATTTCTCGATAATGTCTATTACAGGAATCGATTGTTGGAATTTTTACGCAAATTTTGAGGGTTGCTTTCGCTGTACAGCAAGAATAAAACGCTCTCTCAACAGTAATAATAAAGTATTTTATTGAAAACTAAGTTGTATAGAAAAAGACGTGTTGACGGGGTGAGTGTTCGTTGGAGAGTTCCTGTGTGTGGAGTCGGTCGTAGGTGTATGAGTAAGCATCTGGTCGCCGGCGTCAGTAGTCCGCCGTAGACCCTTCCTGGAACGCTCGTACGTCCGGCGGCGTCCTGCTGGCGCCCTGCTGGCGCTCTTGGCATAATGCTTAAAAATGGGTCACTTGCAACATGCGTACCCACAATTTAAAAAAGAAACGTTGTTGTACGACCTTCTGGAGTTGAGATATACAGGGTGTTTCATAATATATGCGCAGGACTTCAGGATGTGATAGCTCGTCCAAAAATTTGAAAAAAAGTTTGTATTAACTTACCCTCTAAAATGCACAATTTTCGAGATACAGGGTGTTGAAATTGTAAAAAAAAATTCGTTTTTTGCGAATATCTCCGGAACCGTTTATCGTACAGAAAACAGCTTTTGTAAGCATTTACTACTCATAATAAGCTATGTTCTGTGCGAGAAAAAAATTTTTTCAAAGTCATAATTGGTGAAGATTTTGAAGGGGAAGTGGGTGTTTTTCTCCCCAACTTCTACGCCACTGGAAAAAGTACGGTTTTGAGACGCCCATTTGAACCGCCAATGTTTTCTACACAAAAACAGTACTCTTGGTCATAAGCTCTAAAGTTGACCGTTTTCGAGAAAAATCTACTTTTATGTTGAAAAACATGGTCAATTTTTTGAAATAAAATTTTTTTACTAATTAAACAAAATTTATTTAATCGTTAGAACAAGTAACAAAACCAAACGTTAACTTCATAGTTGCAAAATTTAAAAAAAAAAAAATCGTACACAGTTAAATTAAATGTTGGAAATGTCCTCCGTTAGCTTCAATGCACGCAGCAATTCTTCGACGCATTGACTGTCTAACACGCAAGAAAATTTCCGGAGTGTTCCGAATTATGTCGCAAGATGCAACAATGCGTTCTCTTAATTGATCAACATTTTCAACTGGAGTAGCGTAGACTAGGGTTTTGAGATGGCCCCAAAAGAAAAAATCTAAACAATTAAGTTCGGGAGATCGCGGGGGCCAAGGGTGGGGACCTCCTCGACCGATCCAACGGTCTTGGTATT